CAGGAGACCAAAAGCACGGGGGTTCACACAGCACCAACCCCAGGAGTTCCTTTTCCTGGAGATGAAAGGGCCATGAATGAATTCCCTGCACCACCCACTCCCTCAGGATGGGCTCAGCTGCCATCAGCCCTCACTCCCCACAGTCAGGAGCTATTTTTTCCTGTTCTTGCTAGTGTCAATATGTTTCTTTAAATATCTTTTCAGAGAGGCTGTATATATATAGCCCCACTCTGGTGCTTTGAAAGGAGACTCATTTCCTGTGTAAGAACTGAATTTCTTGGCAAAGCTGCTGGTGGTTGCAGCATCTGAACCACAAAAATTGGGGTTTTTTTCAGTAGTAAATGGTATTTCCTTTGCAACTGTGAGTTGGACCGAGCTGGGTCTGATCTGAAATCAGCTGGGTTGCTGTGTTTGGAAGACACAGGACCATATTCCCACTTATAAGAATGATGGGAAAAAAGGATGAATTGCATTAATGGGGCTGTGATGGCAGTCCAGAGGTGGCACAGCCCATGGCAGGGACACGATGGGCACAAAGCTGCTTTTAACCTGCATTTGGCTGTGAAAAAGTTGGGATCACATATCAAAAGGATTTATTAACTGACACTGAGGGAGGAAAAAAAAATCCATTTTATTTGCACCTAATACTTTTTCTTTTGCATCATCTCTCTGCATCTGGTTTTAGAGAAGGCTCCTCCAGCAGCAAGGTAGGGAGCAAACCAGCTTTGCAGTGCCTGAGGGATGGCTCATACTAAGGACATTAAAACCTTCCTGAGGAGATGTAGCATCAGCTGCATTCAGAGTTTTGCATTTCCCTGACATGGAAATGCCACACTTTCCCACTGGGAAATCCTGAGCAGGAGGGTCTGATATCCCCAGCACCACCCTGGGGACTCTGATGGCAGGAGAGGAGATGTTGCCAGCAATCACTTTCTGCTGCAAATATGTCTTTGCAGGGTAATTTCTGAGTCATCAATTGCTTTTATTGTTGCACACAGTCCTAAGGACCCAGTGTGTAAATGTGCCAGAGGTAGTGGCAGCTGTGGGCAGTCCAAGTGGTCCCTGTTCCCCTTTGCTACTCCCTGAATTTCCCAGAAAAAAAACTGCAGCCAAAGAACCTAAAATGTAAGATGTTTAGATTTTCTGCAGACATTTTAAAGAAGTGTCTCCTCCCAACCCTCACCCTTGTCAGGATGGACCACCCTTGGAATTGTCCCTGTGGCAGGGACCATGCTGGCCATGCAGCCCCATTGGCTGGTACAAAGCTGCAGCAGCCACGAGCTCTGGGAAACAAACATGGAATTTCTGCAGCTCCTCCACAGCCCCAGGCACCGTCCCCACCTCATGTCCTCATCCCTGGGGCACAGCACGGACTCAGGACAGGGCAGCCTGCAGTGGTGTGGGACATGATGGCTCCTGATGGAGCACAGCTGGGCACTGGAGCAGTGCTCAGGATGGGGGACACAAGAGAATTATTTGGCTCCTTTGCAGCCCAGGAGATGATAACACACCACCACAATATGCTGCCTCCCTTCCACCCAAAACCCACAGGGCAGGGACAAGGACAAAAGATGGACAGGGCATGTCCTGCTGCAACTTCAAGGGCACTTCTCTCAATTTTGATGTCAGAGCATTTTTGCCCCATCCAGTGATGGGTTTACAAAAAGAAGGAACAGGTTGGTGCAGGAAGAGCTGAGCTGTGTAAGGATCTTTCCACACCTCCAGCCTTCCAGGAGTCAGCTGCTGCTTTGCTTGGGAATGTCATGTACCACCTCTGGGAGTCTGCAGTTGCACCTGCACTGATGCCCTGCTGGGAATGAAGGGAAATATCCCATGGCAGTCCAAAACATCAGTGAAGGAGCAGGAGAGCCTGGGACATCACCCCTGGAGCATCATCCCTGCCCTGCCCAAGTCCTGTGTCCTTCCATCTCTGATTTCACCCTCAACACTTCAGCTCATCTGATTGTTGAACATCCAGTCTTTGCCAACTGGTTAAGCACAGAAGGAATTTCAATCCTTGGCTCCATGATGGCACAAGGATATCTGCTGTGGACAATTACAGCGTGGAAAGAGGAAGAAGGAGTGAAGGTCCCAAGGAGGGAAGATCCCAAGCACTACGCCAAACGAAGAAGACCTTTCCTGCAGAGCTCCAGCTCCAGGACATGCCCCTTAATCCAACCAGGAGAACTTGGAGGGAACGCAAACATTAGACACCATATGAAACACAAACATTTATCTTAAAATATGGCAGAATTTTCACTTTCTGTGTTTTTTCTCCTCTGTTGGTGACCTTTGCTGTGCCCAAAGATTTGTGCCGAGGTTGAGGTGATGAATGGTGAATCACCACGTGAAATACCAGCAAAGGGGGAACAGTCACTGCAACACTCATACTCCCATGGCAGGGCTGCACCCAGCTCATCCTGATGGCAGCAGAACTGCAAGATTTGGTGTTCCCATTGCTCAAATTCCTAAGAAAACCATCAGCATTAACAGAAAAGGAAGACTGGAGTCCTTGGCTGTGTCTTGTTCTCCCTGAGCTCCTCTTGCCCAGCAGGCAGCAAGGACAGCATGAAAGGAACAGCACATCTGGGCATGTCCTCAGGTTTCCCACATTTTCATTCCCAGGAAAATCAAGATACTTGAACAACTGTAGGAGCAGAAGAGACGCCACCAGGAAATTTATTCCTGTTTGTCTGCAAGCCAACAGATGAAGGTTGTCAGGGCAGAGTCGCTGTGCAATGTAATGACCATCATGGAAGCTTTCCACCATCAAAATATCCCCTCACCATGGAAGCACTCCAGCACCTGTTTACCACCACCACAGGAACATCCCACCACCACAGGAACATCCCACCACCAGACCTCCCCACTACTGGGGTGTCCTACCACCACCACAGCTTCGTAGGGTGCTCTTGTTCTTCCAGACTGAGCTCAGACCACAGAAATTGGGTGCTGCCAACCCAAGCAGGTGTTCCTCAGGCTCCCCAAAGACCCATTTGGACACACTTTCTGCCTGTTTGGGCCCTTTTAGCCCAAAATAGGCTTTGCAATGCATGTGCTGCTGCCCTGAGACAGCCAGGATTGGCAGGGAGGGAAGGTATCTGTACCTGCTGAAAACACAGGGAAATTTTTCATTTTAAAGCCATTAAACAGATGAAAGTTTTCTTAAAAGAAGTCACTTTCAAAAAGAAAAAACCCCAAACCCACAAAGTTTTTCTTAAAAAAACCTCAGAAAGAAGAAGTTGGACAAAAACTGTAGGACGAAGACCTAAGGGGTGCCTGGCAAGTTCTCTAAACTGCAGAGAGAGAATTATGGGAAAAAAACCAAAAAACACGAGGAAAAGAAAATGAGTTAGAAAGGGAATTGCGTGGAGCTGAAGCACAGAAGAAGGAAAAGCCAGACAAGGCCATGCTGTGTCATCAGTCTGGAAATCGGATGAGGAAGATGAAATCCAGCTCGTAGCGATGTGGGGAGCGGCGCAGCCCCACCGCCCCCTCCACTCGGCCCCTCCCGGGAAACCACGAGTGCAGGGGGAGCCTGGAAGAGCTCCAGGCCCACGGGGCTGCTGCTGACACAAGGAGCCAGCAGGTTCCAGGATCAAACCAGTTCCATTCCTACCTTCAGCAGCATGAGTAAATAATTGATGTCTGAGGTAACATGAGCAGGAAGGTGAGCAGAGCCCTGCACACGATCCTGCATCCAACTTCAAAGCCTGGTGGGTTTTCTTCCTGCAAAACCTCCTCAGACATGATCCCTGATGTTTATTCCATCCCTAAGCCATCTCTCATGTGCTGTTCCCACTCTGGGCTCATCTGGTCCCACTTCTACAAGTCTGCTCTCACTGGTCCCACTTCTACCCTTGCTTCTGCCTCAGTTTCCCTTCCTCTCCTGCAGTAGGTCTGGACAGCTCTGCTTCACTGGTACTTTCCATCCCTGGTCATGGAGCACGGCCAAGCTGTCCCTATCTCCCTCTGCTGCCATCCCTCTTCACTTCCCCCATGCCTTGTCCAGGCGTATCCCCAGCTGCTCCAAGCACATCCTTTCCCCAAATCACCAGCTTTTTCCACCAAAGCACTCCTGCCACCCCTCCAGCTTGGCTGCCACCTTTCCTTTGTGCAGGACACCAATCCATCACCTACAATCTGAGTGAAGGGCCCCATCCAGATACTCTGGATGCTGCTGAGGAGCAAATTCTGTCTGCCTTTCAACATATCAGTGCCTCTTCCCAGGAGCCACCTGCAGGGACAGACCCTGTCCACACCTGGGGTCCCTGAGTGACACCAGTGCAGAACCCAGTGGGGTGACTGGCCAAAGAGCCACTCCATGTCCCCTCCAGCCAGTGAAGACACAGGCTATGCGTGCCCAGGATGGTTCCAAGGACAGGGTGGCACTGTCTTGGGCATGATGCCCGCCTGTGGCTGGGCTTGGAGACCCAGCAGCTCAGGCCAGCGGGTGAGTGTTCCCCAGCCCCGCTGGTGGGGCGGCCAGGCTGAGCGGACACTGCTGGGCTGGGGCACCCCGGGTGCCACCGCACCCTGATGTCCCCGGGTGTTCTTCTAAGGCCAGGATTCAGCCCCAGCCACGGGGCCCGGGGGCTCCCCATCCCTATCCCCCCATTGCGACCCACGGCCCCCCCGGGAGGGTGGGGCCAGCCCCGCCCCGCCCCGCCCCGCCCCGCCCCGCCCCGCCCGTCAATCTCCTCCCACCTGGCCGGCCCTGCCCACTGGCGGCAGCCCAGCCCGCCCGGCCCGGCCGCGCCCACCCGCCCAAGCTCCGCCCCCTGTGCCAGCACCAACCCGCTGGGCAACGGGAGCTGTCCCCGCCCCGGCTCACCTGGCTGACCCCGCCCGCCCGGCACAGCCGCGCCCCGCTGTACCCACCCCAGGTACCCGGCGGGCCGTTCCCATCGCACCGCGCCCCAGCCTGGCCCGGCCCCCTCAGCTGCCACCTTCCATTCCTCGCCGCTCGCATCCCCCGCCCCGCCCTGTCCCGCCCGCACCTGGGCGCGCTCGAAGCTCTCCCGCTCCGCCTCCAGGCCGCCGCCGCCCGCCCGCCGGCTCAGCACCTTGGGCAGCGGGTTGGACACCTGCTTCATAGTGCTGCTCACGCGGTCCATGGCTGCCCCGGGCCCGCCACCGCCCCGGCCCCGCCGTCCCGCGCAGCGCCGCCGCCGCGCGGGCCCCGCGCCATTGGCCCGCCCACCTGCCACTCACGCTGAGGCACGCCCCGCGGGCGCCACCCTTCCACCCGCAGCTCCGCCCGCAGGTCCGATTCCTCGCTCTCATTGGTTCCCGGCGTCGCCCCTGGGGAGGAGCGGCCGGGAGACCCAGCCCCTGCGTGGCAACCGCCAAGCTCATTGGTTTATCTGGGCGCCAGTCAACGCTAGCTCCCGTCCCCCAAGAGTCCCCTGCCCATTGCTCCGCCTTAAGGGGCCGCGCTCTTAGCACCGCCCACCCAAGCTCTGCGGCCACGCCTTCGCGCGGTCCCCTGCTGTAATTGGCTCAAGACCCTGCCGCTCAGACGTCGGTGTCCCGCCCCGCCCCTCACCGGTGCGGGGCGCGGCGCCCCCTGGCGGCGCTGGCGATGCCGCTGATGCCGGGCCCTCGGGGAGATCGGGCCGCGCTCGGGGCTCGCCGGGAAGGGCTCGGCCGTGTACGGGGCACCGCCGCGGGGTCCGCCGGGCCCGGGCCGCCGCTGTCCAACGGCTCTGAGCCGCGGCAGAGCCATTCGGGTCCGCAGGCCGCGGGGGTCCTTACAGGTTGTCCGTGCGGCCTGCGAGGCTGCGGCCCCTCAGCCGAGGCTAGAGTGTGACCACGGGGGTGACCCGGCACCGCTGTCCCCTCCCTGCTGCCCGTCTCAGGTGCAGCCCGGCCCCTCTCGGAGCTGAGCCCCGGGCAGTGGCACTCGGGGTGTTCGTGGCTTCCCAGCCCTGCCTGGGGCCGGCGGTGGGGAGGCGGCTCCCCCGGCAGCCTGCGGAAGGGCTGTGTGAGGCATTGCCTTGGTGGAACCGGGCTGTGGGTGGGAGCTCTGGAGGGGGGTGCTGCAGGCACAGCTGGCAGAGCCCAGCAGGAAGAGTGTAGCATTGACAGAGGGGCAAAATGAGGTTGCAGGTGTCTGAAAAAGAAGAGAGCAGAGGTGACAGAAGGATTTTGCTTCCCCTGAACAGCTGGACTGTGTTTTATTATAACCTGAACCGAGCCTGTGTCTCTGGTGCTGTCACTTGGATCAGAGATTTTTGTAGAATTAGACTGGATATTGGGAAGGAGTTCTTGGCTGTAAGGGTGGTTGAAGCCCTGGCACAGGTTGCCCAGAGAAGCTGTGGCTGCCCCATCCTGAATATTCAGGCCACATTGCACGGGGCTTGGAGCAAGCTGGTGTAGTAGAAGGTGTGCCCATGGCAGGGGGTGGAACAGGATTGTTGGAAACGATACAACTTCTAAGTTTTTAAACTAACTTTTTTTTAATCAGGGGTTTTGTTCATCTTTGCCCAGGAAGGAAATGGAAGTTTCTTTTCAAGAGACTGTTCCCTGGGCAAGACCCGATGAGCTTAACATCTCGAGGGACTGGGAGCCACCAGAGGATGCACAAGAGGTAAGCGACTATTAATGAACATCCACACCTGAACATCCTTCCTGGTGTGTTGGAGACACTTGGTCTGGAAAAAGATCATAAGAGAAGAAAGAGGACCTGATTAGCAGCTAAGGTGAAGGGATCAATAACCAATAGGAAACCAAATTCTAAGATCTGTGTAACTTGGGACCAATAAACATTGAACCAATTAATCTCTCTGAGTTTTGACTGTATAAGTATGTGAAAAGTCTAGAAAAGAGACGTGTGATGGAATTATTTTCTTTGCACAACCCAGTGTGTGGATGAAATTACTTCTGTTGCACAATCTGGCCAGAATATCATCCTGGACAGAATAAAATAATGCTTGAGTTCTCTAACATTAAAATTTGTTGGAAAGGTTGTGTTTTTCCTGCTGTTTCAGTGACAGGATGAGCTTTAAGTTTCTTCCAACCCAAACCATTCTGGGATTCTCTCAACCTGGTGAATTGATGACTCCTGTAATTTTGACCAGGACTACCATCCTATTCCAGAGGTGAATTTCTCACTTGGAACATTTCTGCAATACTGGGAGAAATTACTTTTTTTTTTTTTTTTGTGAAGAGACTGAAAACTGAATCCCCAGGTACGGCAAATGGGCTGTGCTGGGGTTGTGCCAGCTGGGTTCCTGTATCCTTAAAAGCAGATCATAACAAATCAATGACTTTGCTCCAGGTGGGGAGGAGCTGTGCTGGGATGATGGGGCAATCTGGAAACAGCTTTTTAGCATGTGGGCTGTCAGGGGCTCTTGTATAAGCAATTCTCCCAGCATATCTCTCTATTGTGGCTTTTCAGCTGAAATAATTGCCACACCAGGACCTTCCTGGAGCTGCCCAGCAGGGTATGTGACAGGCTGTTTGCATCACAGGCCTTCCCAGTTCCTGTGCATTGGATATCAAATCCCAGCTGATGGGAAATGGCCTGCATAGAGCAGCAAGGCCGTTCCTCCCACTGTGGCTTGTCTCGACTGCCTGTCTGCATTGTCCTTAATGTGCTTTCTGGAAACCTGCCTCCTTCCTTGGGGCTGCTCCCAGGGGAGGTTTAATGGGTTTGATTCATCCACTGTTGCAGCAAGATGATTAATAATTGAAGAAATTACGTCATTCCTGAATAGAGATGGAGGAAAGGAAGAGCAAAGGAGAGCACTGGACAAAGGACAGCGATATCCTTGTGACCTCTGCCACCCTCCACCTCGCTCGGAACATCCTGCTCCTGGAGCCCATGGCAAGGGACCACTAGGCTGAGGCCTGCTGTAGCTACGCCCTCCTACTGAAGAGCAGAGCCACAACCTCTTCTTCCCTAGCCAGGGCTCAGTGCTGACTCTGGGACCTGGGCAGGAGCAGAGGATGGTGCTTGGATATGGGACAGAACAGGCTGATTCTACTGGCTGCTCCTGCCTCCCCCAGGAATGGGCTGTAACAGGATGGAACTGGGATCCAGCCCATGAGCGGCTGGTCAGACCACCCTGGGCTGGCCCATTCATGCAGCATCACTGCTGGAATGTGCTGTGGGGCTTTGCAGGGATTTGAGAGGCTCCTTTGCAGTGGGAGAGGATGCCTTGTTTTCAGGTAGTTGAGAGGGGAAGGCACAGAGCTGTTCTTGTGAAGTGTCTGTTCCTCTGTCTCAGGTTCCACGGGGAGATAATGGGGAAGGGCTGAAACTGAGCAGGGTATGGAGGTAGAGCAGGTTGGGCTCTTCCTCCCCAGCAGGTCATTTTGGAAGCCATGGCTGGGGTTCACCTGCTCTGAATGCTCTGTCCTCACTCCTGTCCAAGAGGCTGGACTGAAGGGTGATGGCAGAGCCCTTCATAGGAGTGTCTGGCCTGTATGGGGACAGACATTGTCTGGACATGGAGAGGACAATGTGTGCCCTCTCTTTTTTCTTGCTGAGCAGTATGTGGCACCCATCAAGTGCTGCACAGGCCAGGCAGGTGGGACTGGAGCTCATCCTTGCCCTGTTGCAGGGCTCTGTAGGGCAGTTTCCTTTTCCTGCTCCATGCCCAGAGGCTCCTGTCCACAGGACCCTAAAGGGTCTGCTCCCATTCTGTCAGGACATTCTTAACCCAAAGGGGAAGGACGAGTGGCAGGAGAGGGGCCAGAAGGGACTGTAGGGGCTATGGGCCCTGTCCAGGGCTCAGGGATGCTCCTTTTGCAGGGGCTGGGAGCTGGAGTCTGTTTTTACAATTCCCTCCCCAGCCAGAGCTGGAGAGTCCCAGGGTACTGCTGCAACACACATCATCCTCCCGTGGCCTGGCCTGGCCTCAGGGAGAGCACAGATCCCCCTTGTTTCAACAGGAAAACAGAATCACAGAGCTCCACAATCCTTCCTCTGTTATCTCGCTGGCTGTGCCAGAGTGGGCTGTGCTAAGATCCTGCTGTTTCACCCTTGGAGGTGGGAAAAATGGATCCCAAATGGATCCCCTTCAGTAGGCCCTTTACACATTCCAAGGCACACCATCCTGATCGCACCCAAGCAGACGAGCAATTCCTGGGGCCATGTCTTGAAAGGGCAGTGGCTATGTCAGGCCTTCCATAAACCAAATCCTGCAGCCCCAGATGCAGCTCTGCCCTGGTGATGGGATAATTTGCTCAGACTCTGGGATAAAAACTTGTGAGCCAAAGTACCCAGCTGGAAAGGGCAGGGTAGTGGCGCAGACCCAGCAGGAGGGTCCTTGGGGAGCAAAGATTGTGCCAGGAGGAGCAGGCGTGGGAGCATGGGGAGAATTTTCATCTTTTGATCCCATGTTTTGAATGCTTTGGCAAACAGATGTTGCTGCTGAGTCTTTGCTTGTGCTCCCAAAGAGACCCTGGGCTGCTATGTGGGGCAGGGACAGTCTTGGTGCAGTGTTGCGGTGTGTCCAATAGTTTCCAATAGTGCAGGACCTGGGAGAGCATTGGAGAGCATTGGAGTCTTGGGAGAGCATTGCAGGTGAACAGTCTGGGACTGGGAGAGGGTCTTGGAGAGGACTGCTTGGCTAAGGTGCTTGAGGTCCAGTGGGGCCCTCACCTCTGTCCTGTCTAGGCTTCCTACTTGCCCAGGTTACAAGGAGGGCTGTAACCCCAAAACATCATCTGCTGTGTTTTCTGCACAGAAGCCTCAGCAACTGCCTCTGCTTGCCCAAGAATTCAAAAGCAAAGCTGAAGAGGTTTCCAGATGGATCTGCAGGAGAAGACCTGAACTCCACAGGGACACTGGGCTGCAGGGGCAAATGCTTAGGTGAGAAACCAGCTCATGAGCAGGACCTGGAGGTGGGAAGTGTTTTTGCCACTTGCTGGACAGTGTCCCCTTGGCATGGCCAGCAGGTCCAGCTGGAGCACCCCACCAAGCCCAGGTCTCTTCCAAGGCAGGATGTGGCAAGCCTGATTTCACAGAATCAATTGGTTGGAAAAGACGTCTGAGATCATCAAGTCCAACCATGACTGAATGCCGATTAGACCATGGCACTGAGTGTCACATCCAGTCATCTCCAGAGATGATGACTCCACCACCTCCCTGGGCAGCCCATTCCAACGTCTGATAACCCTTTCTGTGAATAAATTCTTCCTAATTCTTCCTTTATTTCTGTATTGGGAGCTTTGGCTGCCAGAGTTGGATTACTGAGGAAAGGATTTCTGTGTGAGACTTGGGGTGTGCAGAGTTGAGTATGGGAACTGTGTGCTCATTGCAGAGCAGTCTTGGGAGAGCACAAGGCAGGTACTGCAGCAGGGCATGAGCATGAATGTGGAGAGCCAGTATATCCCTGTCTTCCCTTTATGATACAGGAAACATTCTGGCTCCCTACAACTCCCTGGCAGGAGGGTGAAGTGGGGGTGGGAGTCAGGCTCTGCTCCTAGGGAACGAGTGATATGACAAGGGGAAACACCTCAAGTTGAACCAAGAGAGGCTCAGGATGGATATTAAGGAAAATTTCTTCACTGAAAGAGTGGTCAAGCATTGGAATGGGCTGCCCAGGGCAGTGGTGGAGTCACCATCCCTGGAGTGATTTAACAGAAATAGAGATGTGATGCTTAGGGCTACACATCTCTAGTTAGTGGTGGCCTTGGCAGTGCTGTACTCAATGATGTTAGAGGTCTTTTCCAGCCTGAATGACTCCATGATTTCTATGTTTTTCCATGATCCAACATCGACCAGTACTCTTGTCAAATGTTGTTCTCAGGATTCCTGCAACTCTATGGCCTAACTTGGAGATGTCCCCTGTACCTCCAGCTGCTGACAACAGGCGGCAGAGTGTGCAAGGACAATGCAGCTGTCACTCTGGTTACAACAAAACCCAACACCAAATGGTTTTTTTTTCCTTTCTCTGAACTGTGGCTAAACCTGTCATGTTGTGCTGCAGCTGCTGGACAAGTCCTGATCTGCTCCAGGCCAGTTGCTGCTCAGTACTGAGGACATTGTTGGGGAAACAAAGGAGTTGTGGCAGAGGCATCATTTGGCTGTCCTGGGAAGTACCACCACATTTCTGTGAGGGTCACATTCCAACATGGCATCCAGCCACATCCTGCTCTTTTAGACTCCTGGTCACAAAGTGAAGCTTTTATAGGTGCCCCAAATTTGTCTTGGAAAATTGCATGGACTGCAGCAATTTATTTCTGCCTTGTTGTGTGCTTAGAAACTGTTGGAGTCTTTCTGCTGACATTTACCAAAAATATTTCTCTGGAGGCATATCCTGGTGTGCCTGTAGATTTCTGCCCAGGGATTTCAATGCAATTTCGTAAGCTGCTGTGTAGCCCTGATGGTTTTGTTGGACCAATTGTCCTGGAGAATCAAAGATGAGCAGTCACAGAGGATGTAGACTAAGGATCCATCTACATCAGCCTTGATACCTCTAGATGTGGTCACAGCAGACCCCTTGAAGAGACCGATCAATATTTGTACTGCACCCTGGAGTGTGCTCCCAGCTTCCAACCATTCTCATTTTCCAAATCTTCTCAAGCTTATCACCCTGAAATCCAAGCTCAGACTCAAGAAAATGTCCTTGTCCTCACCATGTCCCTTGGCAAGGAGCTCCTCATGTGAAGAGCTGCCTCCTTCTGTTCCTTTTGAACCTTCCTCTTGCCCACTCCATTGAATAATCCGTGGCTCCTGCTCTGGGGCAGCGAGTATTTGCGTTATCTCTCTTTCTAGGCCACTTATCATCTTGCAGACTTCAATGTGGAAAGTCTCAATTCTTCTTGAAAATACTTCTTCTCATCTGAGATCTTGCTTGGAGCTGCACCACCCTGGGATCTCTGGCCCCAGTCATTTTCTTTCTGTTTCCAACTGGTTTGCTCACAGTTAAATCCAGTTTCCCACATTAGTGACCCAGCAGTTCCCAGGAGCACTGTGATAAAGTGATCCCCCAGACATGGTCCAGCCAGGAGGTAGTGTGGTGGAGCAGGCTACCCTCAGGGCTGAGCAGAGGTTTCCTCCCACATCCCCAACCTGTCCTGGTGATGGATCCAAACATACTGTGTTTGGTTTCTATCTATAGCTGAAGCACACCATAAGACGGAGGTTTTATAGACTCCATAAATAGCCACTATTTAGGATGAATAATATGGAGGAGGTTTTAGAAATCAAAATATTTAGAGGTTTGCATTATTTTCTTGGTAGGAAGGAGCAAGAATACAGAATCAGAAGGAACAAAGTTGAGGAAAACAGTGAATAGGGGAAATAACAGAGGTGTCGAAACCTCCAAAAAATCCTTTTGGTTGAATGGAAGCAGGAAATACAGCAAGGTGTATCTGAAAGGAGAGAGAATTCATTGACAATGTTGAGGCACAATGGTTATATTCCTGCTATAAAATACTGATTTTTCAAAACAAATCTTGACATTTCGATCAAACCTGTAGCTGAATGTTGTGGAACATCCCAAACACTCAACTAAAGCTGCTCTGAGCTGGGCTGTGTTTGTGTGAGCCATCAGCGAGGAGGCTCCAGCTCATTCCTCAGTCTGTTCTCCTCCTCTCAGTTTTATTCTGGTCCCTGTGTGGAGATGTGTCAGAACGGTGTAGGGTTGGTCTCAATGGGAATTTGTGCAAGTTTGTTTCTGAATGTATTGGCAGAAATGGAAAGAGCAGGGGATGGAAGGAGTAGATGTTGGTGACACCTGATCTTGGAGGACTTTTCCAACATTAATTATTCTGTCGTTCTGTGATTCTGTGACTCACACTGAGCAGTTTATTAGCACTGCTCAGAGAAGACTGTGACAGGTTTAGAGGTTGCCACTGACAGTAACTGACCGCAAAAATGTTGGAGTCTCTTGACCTCCCTCCCCACTTCAGCCATATTTATAATATTTTCTTGGGAAAAGATAAAAGTTACAGTTGATGTCATTTACAGATTCGGTGGGATTTGATTGAATTTAGTTAGTAGCATAAATAGAGGTGAGAAACATAATATGTATTTCTGAGTTAAGCAAAGTTCAGCTTTTGGTTTCTATCTAGATCATTCCTTTGACTTAGTTCTCATTAGCTGCATTGTTTTCCATGGAGTCCATCCACAACACTGCTGTGTCACTCCATCTTTTGTTTTATATTTGCTTTGATTTCAACAGAGAATTACTGCAGTGCCTCTGTGTTGCTCCATCCTTTGTTCCATGTGTCCCTTGGAGTGGCACACCAAGCTCCATCAGCATTCCTGCTTCTAAGGTATGCAGGCAGTTTGTCCCTGTCCTTGCACTCTTTATTGCTTAGCTTTGGCTTTCGGTCTCCTCACACCTTTGTCCCACTCTGTGCAGTGTGGGGGAGAGTGGATCCATGATGGTGGTAGGACTTCAGGCCCTTGGAGGTACCAGGTTTCATCCCAGTATCTGAATGGGCTTTGGAACAGAGAACAAGGCAAGTCATGGAGCAGGAAGGATCCCAGAAGAATCCTGCATTCGTCAGCTGTTTGGAGCAGGATATTCTGAGTCTTCTTCACAAGTAAAACCTCAGCCGTGAATCTGACTGTCTCAACTGACTCTCATTCTGGGAGTTTGGCCCCTTAGCAGGAGCTGGGATGAAAGCAAGCCAATCCATGGAGAAAGAGCTTCAGAGAAGAGAACAGGTGTGCCCAAGCTGGGGACTGGGCTGTGATGGCTGCAGAGAATCCATGGGCTGTATGGAGCCTGCCTGCCTGCCGTGGGAAGGGGCAGGTATGTCTCTGCTAAGGAAGTGTCTTTCCAGGAACCCAGCAACATGCCCTGTGCTCCCAGGGCTCAGGGGCAGGTCCTCCTCAGCTGCCCACTCCCCAGGCTTGTAGCTGCATCTCCCTAGCACCAAGGCATCATGTATGGTGTCACCCAGGCTCAGTTTTGTTCATGCTTAGTACAGGGTGTTGTAGTGAGAGAAAAAGCTTTGTGTAAAACAAACCCTGCCATGGCACAGCACCCTGCACCCTCCAATAAGTGTGCCTCACTTTTCCATGGAGTTCAGTCTCCTGAGATGTGCTGATTATCTATCACATGCCCTGGAGCACTTGGGAGCCCCAGGCCTGCAATCCACCCTTCCAGGCAATATCTTAATTTCCCTTTGATTTCCTCTTCTGGCTTCCTACAAGGAAACCCACTTTGGGTGGGGGATTCTATTATGTGATCATCCTCCTCCATAGAGGAGCAAGACGCCTTTTGTTACTGGACCATGAGGAAAGGCAGCCTGCTCCTGTGGCTTTCCCATTGTGGCTGTGGTTGCCCAGCACCCAGACACATTTCCTAGCACCGTGGAGACTTCGCTCTTCCTCCACTCTCTTGAGGCTTTGTCCACAAACCTTTGCCTGGAAAACAGCAGAGCCCTTCTGGAGGGATGTAACATTTCCAACAGTTTTTCTGACAGTGCAGAGACACCATTCCCATCCTTAGCAACATGTGCTAAATCAACCAGTCTTTTCTCTGTGTATGTTTGGCAGCTGGGACAATGACAGAGGAGTGTCAGGAGGATGCTAGTGCTACACTGCTGGAATCAAATAACCATCTTTGTCAGCTTTGCTTTGCTAACATAGTCATCAGCTCCTAAAGTTCACTGTGGGCATCAGTGGCCAATTCCCATGTGCATGAAGAACTGAATACTATTTTAGCTGTCACTAGTATTTGAGAAGTTGTGATGTAGCAGAACTGGTTCCCCAAAGACTTGTTGCAAGGGATGCTCAAGGACATAAGAGGAGCCCAGATCTGGAATTGCACCGTGCTCCACCCTCTGCTCTGCACATTTATGCACCAATGGCCTCCAGAGTCCCATGGAGGAAGCCCCCAGTGCAAGTGGGACCCAGCATGGCTGGGTGGCCACATGGGTGGTCAGCCTGACTCTCAGACTTTCCCCGCTCTAGTTGCTGTGGCAGAGGTGAGATCTCCTGTTTGTCCATTATGCAGATGTTCTGGGAAACAAGGGTGTGACAACCATGGTTGACCTTCATCCACTGCCGTGACTTCTAGGCAAGAGGTCCACCTACTGATCTTCCAAATTACCAATTCTACGTTTTCTGCAGAACCCTTAGGTCACGGGAAATGAAATGACAGGTCATATCCTGTTCTGTGTCCACTCATGGTATCTGATGGTATCGTACCCTGTGCCATGTCAGGACACTGCTGTCATCAGGGCTCTGGACGGTTTCCTCTGCAAGGCTGTGTGGTATCCTTGACACTGCACTTTTTCCATTGTGTCATGGCTTTCAGCAATGTTTCCATCCTTGGTTGCTGTCTGCCTATATAAGAGGGCAGAACCCAGGGATCCCACACCAGGAACAGTGAGGGACACTCTGCGACAGTCCAGCCTCACTCCTACAATTCACCTCTACCCAAGAGGACCATGAAGACCTTCACAGCAGCCCTTTCTGTACTTTTTGTGGTTGTCTTCTGCTACCAGGCCACCTCCTCTCCAAGTGAGTCCAATCTCTCCTCTCCAAGGAGCTGTCTCCTCTTTCTGTGTGCTGTATAAGGTCTAGTAATGCTTGGCAGCTCTCTCTTACTAGCATCTGCTGTAGGAAAAGAGAAGCCTGTCTTACCTTGGCTCCCTGATGGGAAGATGGCTATGGTGGGAGCCCACTGTGGGAGCAGCACTTCCTCCAGCGGGAATCTTCTCATCTTCTCACCCTACTTCTCCCCACTGGCACTTTTCCTGGTCTGATGTAACAGAAAACTTCTCTTCCAGTTTCTCTCCACTCTGGTCCCTGCTGTGTTGTGTACAACCTTGGACCATTGCCCTTGAGCCATGTGAAGAATTATGTGCCCACGGGGGGCCACTGCTCCAAGCCAGCTGTGATGTAAGTACATCTTCTGCCCTGCTTGTCCTGACAGTGTGGCGGAACCCCACATCATACTTCATCCTGACATGGAAAAGCACTGGGCAAGGCTCTCCCATGTGAGAACTGCCTGGGAACATGTCAGAGGGCAATCCCACATCCTAGACAGCGAGTTTGTGAACCTCCTTATTAGATTTGAGCTAATAGAGCTTTTGCTGGTCACTCCCCTCACCCCAGATAGGGGGACCTAGCCAGGACGGTGTCCCAGATGTAGAGATGCTGGGGACAAAGCAGTTTAAGTGCAGAGAGCAGGACACCTGTAAGGACATGGAGTCACTCCCACCCCATTTCCCTAGGGCGGTTTTGCAGCCTGTAGAGGTGTCTGGTGGGTGTCACTGTTGGCGTGGAGCAGGTGGTCTCACTCTTCTCTCCGTCTTCCTTTCCTTTGCCTCTCCTCACTGGATTTCCTTTTCCAGATTTACCACAATCAAGAACAAGCTGGTCTGTGCCCACCCTGATGAGAAGTGGGTCAAGGACATAATGAATCAATTAAAGGACAAGAAGCACAGTGGATAAGCAATACCCTGCTCTCTCCAAGCACCACTTCTGCAGGAATGTGCTCTCATGGACACCTCCAAGACATAATCTATTTTCTCATTGCCTGGGAATTTGGCAGGGTATTCAACTCAGTGTTTAGCTCTTTTATGGAAGCCTGTGCAATGCCGGTCTTAATTTATTTGACATTTTCAGTGAAACTTTTAATTCTCCATTGTACTGAAGGTGTTGAAGTTATTTTTGTATAATAAAAAGGAGCAAAACTTGCAACTTCTCCCAGTGGTTCTTGGGATGCTCCACGGAGACTGGGGTGTGTAGCAATGGTTGGAAGGGGGTCAGGGTTGACACTCGAAGGTCTGTGGGTGATGGGGTGACACCTGGCTGTCCCCCAGCCTCTCTGTGCATGCAAGGGAGAGCACTTCTCATCCTGCCTGTCCCGCCTGCCTCCTTGCCGCGGCACATTTCCAAACTCCTGGCTCTTTGCAGTGGGTGGGTATCACGGGGGATGTTTTGGCACAATTGTTGGTGGGGCAAGTGGTCCTTTACCTCGGCCAACATCTCTGGTCAGCGGGCAGGTGCCTCAGGGGCTCCTCGGGCTGCTGAGCTCAGCCATCACCAGACCCAACCCCATCTCCACCACCGTCCCGGCCCGGGGCTGTCTCTGGCCACGGGTTAGTTCCGGTGCTTCCAAATGTGTCCCGCTCTCCCCGCGGGGTTTTTCTCTGGCTTTGCCCCGCCGGGCTGGAGGCAGTCCCAGCCTTTGGGGCTGGCTGCAGCTGTCCCGGCCGGTGCCAGCTCCTCCCCCCGGCAGCACGGAGGCTCCGGGGCCGGTACTATCCGGTAGCGAGGCCGGCTCGTCCGGCAGGCTTTCATGGCACTGCCCGTTCTTCCTCTCCGTGGGGCTGTGCCGGCCATGCCTGCCTGGGAGCCCGCCTTTGCTGGCTGACGAGGGCCGAGGGAAGCGCCCGTGGAGACCAGCGGGCCACCATGGCGCTGGCAGGTGCTCTGGAGCGGCTGCAGGAGGAGGCCATCTGCCCCATCTGCCTGGAGTACATGAGCGAGCCGGTCAGCATCGACTGCGGCCACAACTTCTGCCGAGGCTGCATCGCCAAGCACTGCCAGGACAAGGGGCTGTGGGCCGACGGGCCCTTCTCCTGCCCGCAGTGCCGGGCCTCCTGCCACCGCAGCGGCTTCCGACCCAACCGGCAGCTGGCCAACATCGTGGAGAGCATCCGCCAGCTGGGGCTGCGGGGCGGCCTGGGGCCCGAGCTGGAGCCGGGGACCCCCCTGTGCCCCCAGCACGACGAGCGGCTGAAGCTGTTCTGCGAGGAGGACGAGGAGCCCATCTGCGTGGTGTGTCGGGAGTCGCTGCAGCACCGCCCGCACACCGTGTACCCCATCGAGGAGGCGGCGCACGTCTACAAGGTACGGCAGGGTGAGGCACCGGGCCCCTGCCCTGCCCGAGGCGCTCTGGCACGGGGCTGTGCGGCCACCGGGACCCCAGCAAGCTCAGTGGCATCGCTGGCAAAGCAGAAGGAGGGGTAGCGCAGACGGTCACCTCCCCCCCCAGCTGCCCTCGCTGCAGGGATAAAGCTAGACCTGCCTTATCTTCCAAATTGTTGGTGGAGCTAGGCTCACACCGTCCATCCAGCTCAGGGACGCAGCCTGGCTCCCTGCCCATTCACAACCCCTGGAGAAGCTGAGCTGGTGGGTCCCAGAGGACATTTTGCCCCGGTGGAAGGATGCTGGCACCCAAATCACACATCCCAGCTATGATCCTGACAGTGCCACCATCCACCCTTCACCCCAGCGTTGAAAGAGGGCTGTCGCTTTGGTCTCCAGAACCTTAATAGTGAGGAAAAACACAGGGGAAATCTGCGGAGCATGGGGAGGGTTAACACTGAGCTGAGTGAAGAGCGCAGCTGCTTTGTTTGGGTGCCAGTGCCTGGCACCGCCTGGCACTGGGTCAGTGTCTCCCCCCACCAGGCAGGGGAGACCCAGCCAACTTGCAGTGCTCAGTGGGTGCTGTTGGGGTGAGTTGAGCCCATTTTTTCTCTTTCCAGGTCAAACTCCAGAAATCCCTGGAGAGTCTTTTAAAGGAAGTGGAGGAGGTGAAGAAGCATGAGTCAGCAGAAAGGATGAAAACCCAGGAGTGCAAGGCAGGTGCCTGTCTTAATTCTTAAAGAATGAGCTTCAGAGATATCAGGATTTAAGAAAAAAACACCCTGAATGATCTTGTCTGGGGATACAGATTTATCATTGTCTCCAGGCTGTGTTCTGCTGTCACATGTATGAGCAATGCTGGAAGCCAGGCTCAGTAGCTGTGTGCAGCTCTATAAAAAGATTTGCAAGGAGCAGCATGCCAGATTCCCTGGAATAATGAGAAATTTATGCTGGTTAACAATTAGACATGGGCTATTTTTTATTGCCTTTAGTTTTACAACATGTGCTTCAGTTCCAAGCCAGACGTGAGCTGTGTGGTGAGCTCCACTCCACAGCAACAGGAACCAGAAGTGTTTTCATAAGAAAAAAAAACCACTGAATTATTGCAACTCTATCCCACTCCAGACAGTTCTGGGAAGAACAGACACCAGCAAACAGCTGGACTTCAAATCTCTTAGAGTGAAAGATGGAAAGTAAAAGTAAATGCAGAAAAGGAAATGAAACTGCTGGATGAGTTATCCAGCCCTGATTTTGAGCAGATGGTTAATCAGCTCTGGCAGGGAAGACAGGTTTCTCTGAATTCCCCTAGTTTTTCGCTCAGCTCCCTTGCCTGTGGCAGTCCAGACAAATGGTGGTGGGTTTCAAGGATGTCCCTATGAGCCCTCTGTCCCCACGGGGGGAGAAGGACAGAGACTGTGAGAGCTGTGTCACTGTCCTCCCATCTGCCTGAGTCACGGCTCAGGGTCGTGGCTCAGCTGCCTCCAGTTTCCTTTGGTTGTGCTTTTATAGCAAAAAGAACAAAGATTCCCCTGTGAGTGGTAGGGGGAAGAAGCTGTCCTGGCTTATCAAGTCTTCATGACTCAGGTTCAAGTACTTGGATGGGGAAAAAAAAGAAGTTAAATTTCCTTTCCTTTATCTTCTTAATTCTGAGATTTCCTGACCCAAGCCCACTGCAGAGTTTTTCTGCAGCTCCAGGTTTCCAGCCAGCTTTTAGGGATGAGGTGAAAAGCCCTAAGGCACTGGCAGACCATGCCAATTGCTGGTTCTTCACCTTGTAGTGAAACCTGGGGAGCCTTCTGGGCTCTGCCTTTCCATCCTCCACAGCCCCAGGGCTTCCTTTACATGGCAGATAGAGAGAGGATATGAGGGAACTGTCTTAAACTAAGAAAGGAGAGATTTAGTTTGGTTATAAGGAAGAAATTCCTCCATGTGAGAGTGCTGAAGCCATGGCTTCTTGCCCAAAGAAGCTTTGACTGCCCCATTCCTGAAAATGTCAAAGGCCAGGCTGCATTGGGCTTGGAGCAACCTTGTCTAGTGCAAGGTGTCCCTGCCCATGGCAGGGGGTGGAAGCAGATGGTCTTAAAGATCCCTTCCAGCTGAAACCATTCCATGATTTTGTGACTGTTCTACCTCTTGCTCTTAACTGGGGATTTTCCCAGCATTGTCCACCTGCCCAAGCTGTTTATTAGCCTGGATTTGGCTGGAGGTTTGAGTTGTAATAAAAACCTACCCTGACACCTGAGGGCACCTCCTTGCAGCCCAACACACCCCAGACCTCTGGGGTCCAGCTGAGCAGAAATGCCCCAGGCAAATTCCTGCTGCTGATAAACCAAGGATGCACAGCAGGAATTACAGTGAGGTGGAAGCACAAGTTTGCCTCTGGCTGTTTTTGAATTCATGCACTTTTCACAAAAATGCAGTATTTTCCCAGGGCCTGATGCCGGGCGTGGATGCCGGAGCATCTGGCTCTGTCTTGGCTGCCTGGATAACGTTCACCCCATGAATCTTCTTATCCCAAGGAGACAGTAAAGAAAAAGCGGGAGAGGATTGTGAGTGAGTTTGGGAAGCTGCATCGGCTGCTGGCTGATGAGGAGAAGCTACTGCTCCAGAAGCTGGAGGAGGAAGAGAAGCAGATTCTGCTGCTGATCAATGAAAACTTGGCCAGGCTGGTGGAGGAGAAGTGCTTGCTGGAGGAGCTGATCCTGGAGATAAAAGGGAAGAGCCAGCAGCCAGCTGATGGGCTGCTCAAGGTTAGGCTTTGCCACCAGCACCACTAACTCAGCCCTGGTGCCTTTGTCACCTGGGTGGGTGGCTTGGCCCAGACAAACCCAGAGTCGTTTTTGTCTTCTTCTAGGACATGAAAAGCATCCTGAGTAGGTGGGTGATTTTTCCTGATAGGTGCCATCATTATTCCTGGTAGGTACCATGATTATTCCTGGCAGGTACCCGTGGTTATTCTTGGCAGGTACCATGGCTGTTCCTCCTACTGTCCTGGATGCCTCCAGGCTTTGAGGCAGATGTTTGCATCTGTTCCACAACAGCCACCCCATCCTCCCTGCCCAGCATCTGCTTTGGTCCTCCTGGGGTAGACGCAGGAGGGACTGAGACAATCCCTCAGAGGTTTTCCAGGGGCCCAGAGCCAGGGCCTTGCATGGCTTGTGACATGAGCTGCATCCCCTCCTAAGGGATGTGCTGCCCAGTGGCTTTGTTCCTTCCTTCCCCAGGCCTGGCATTGCTGCTCCCTGTATCATTTAGTTCTGATCTCATTTGGATTGCCAATATGCAAGTAATTATCCCTAGTGCTCTTCCCAGCCAGAGCTCCAGGGAGGCAAAGGGCAGCACAAGGGCATTGAGCCCCTTCCCAGCTGGAGAGGGGCCATGGTGCAGGCTGTGGATACAGCCTAAGGGCATCCCTTCCTTCTCAGGTGTGAAGGGGTAAAATTCCAGTCCCCCAAGGCTGTGTCTGTGACCCTGAAGGAAAACTACAGCATTCCTGAGCGCTGCCTGGGCATGAGGGACATGCTGAAGAAGTTCAAAGGTGAGGGCGCAGCTCCTGGCACATTTGGGTTCTGGTTTTCCCCAGTACCCTGGGGCACAGGGAGGTTTTTCTAATAAGCTTTGTCCAGCCGCTCCAGGTTTGTGCACTGATGAGTTCAGGATGGTTTCATGGTGGGAAGACCTTTGTTGTGGTCTTGGATGGATTATGAGGGGACCCTGAAGCCCAGGATGTCCCTCGGGGGTTTCAAGCGCCATGCTGCCCATGACGTCTGGCTTTCAGACCTCTTTCTGAAGCTGTGGAATGGCCCTCCTTGGCTTGGCTCTGCAGC